ACTGCACGCAATAAACTGTGGCCCAGGAGAGCACTGAAGCCCTAATTGACAGCTGTCAAGCTAATGGGAGAAATGGCAGCTGATTCTGGAAAATTCTGTTTTCCAGGCAGATATTCAGGGGAATCTATCATGCCTTTTTATATTTATGCCCCCTTTTTTTTTTTTTTTTTTTTGCATTGTTCCTCACAATTTGCCGAAAAGAAAAAAAAAAGGGGGGGGGGGGGGTGGGAAGCGAAGGACAGCCATAACTAATCATGTTGTCAGCTTGCTGCTAGGAAGAATATCTGTCCAACAGGGAAATATGTGGCAGGTTTGGAGGCAAATAACACACCAAAGGCTGACACTGCAAGTACCTTTATAGGTAGCCTACTTTATTGTTACATTTAGTTTTGGGGTATGTATGTAGTTGTTAGCAATTCCCATAAATTAAAGCAAGCATTCAACTTCCAGAAGTCAGAGCTGTGTAGAAATCTGGCTGCGCAACCTGTGTGCCATCTTGCATCTGTACTACTGTGATGTACTCCCAGTCTCGCTCGGGAGGTGCTGGTAACTACCAACAGCACAAAAGTCCCAGCAAAGTGGAAGCGCTCTGCATCCCTGAAAAATCAGTGCAATGTACTTCAGTATTTACTGCCCATGTTGTCTTCTGAATGTAAGCAAGGAAGCTATGAAAAGCCTAGAGAGTATGCAGCTAGTTCTAGGGTTCAAGACATACTATATACAAATATATATATGTGTATACATATATACACCATGGGCCCAAGTTTGGCTTTTTTCTCAGAGGTTTCAAAATTCAGTGCAGTTGTCTGGGTCTTAAAAAATAAAAAAACAAAACAAAACAAACGACAGTTGTTTTATTCAGTCTTAAAAAAAAAAAAATAATAAATGAGTTTCCAACAGATTATTAGTTCCCCATCCCTCCTCAGAAGAGCTTTATCTGGGTACAAAATATGTATTAGGTAATTTCTGTCAGTAGGAAGTACATTTTCTTGATCTTTTAAATAGAGTTCTAAATAAGCTGTGAATAAAAACTATAATTTAAGGACAAATAATTACTGTTTGCATGAACACGACTGGCCTCTATTAATGTGGTATCTTAGCTTTCCTAGACAGTAGCCTCTAACCAGTAAATACCTTCTTCCTCCTGACTTCAGTGACAGAAGTCTTTGGAGCAGGAATTCTGTCTTCTTGCTTTAACAGGTGAGGAATCAAAATGTGATCCCTGAGTCTTCCTCCCAAATTTCTCTGTGCTATTCACCTGAGTCTCAAAGCAAACAAACCCAAATTATCATTTTTACAGATTCTTGATTCTTATAGACAGCTTTAGTCTTCCACAGTGTGGTGTTAACACTTGGGCTAGACATAAAGAATTTGTGCACCTGTCTGTTCTGTCTCCGAGCTCTGTGCTGCTGAGAGTTCTTTGTTGTTGTTATTCTACTCCAGACCATTAAAAGGGCCCTAATTCCTATGACATGATTATCCAGGTACCAAAGCCCATTTGTCACCTGCAGCAGAAAATTGAGTTAATGCACAACTAAAGGCAACCAGGACTGTGTAATATCAACTTGATTACATCAAACTAGCTGCAAACCTAATTCTGCTGGATGACACTGCGTGGAGCTTGTCATCTCCAATCATTAAAGCTGTCAGGAATCCATCAGGTTTACAGCTAATTAGGTGAACACTAATGAAGCTGGCAAAACAACTTTTCTTTTTTTTATGGCTGAGCGGACCTTTCAGTTTGGAGAAAAAAAAAAAATAAATTCTCGAGTATTCTCAAGGTTGCTGGGGACTGGATTTCCTGAGTTACCAATCAGCAGACATCTTTAATTCTCCCCCCACCACCACCTTTTTTTTCCTTCTCAGTACCAAGCAATCAATTTGTCATCACTCTCAGTATGCCACAAAAGCAGTCATGAACCTTATAACTCGCAGCTCTGCAGCCAAAAAGAAGGGGAGGGGGAAAATAAAGAAAGTTTCTTCTGTCTTAAAATAAAATGCCTCACACAGCTCACTTATTTATCTTCATGCACTTATCAACAGCATAAATGTTCTTGTTTTTTCACTCCTGTCAAATAAGTAGCCCTTCAGTCATTCTACATCCCCCATATCCATTAGGCAGAGGCATTTTGATAAAGTAAAGCCAAAGCTAGTGTATGGGAAAGAATGAAAGCACTCACTCTGCCAACTTCTGATTGACCATTAAGCTATTGATGAATGTGCCTGTCAGGAGAGAGACAATTAAATCAAATATGAAACAAAGTCGTTTTGACGGGTCATTTTGATAGAGCAAAACCATTCTTCCATCTCCTATTAGTCCTGCAGTCAAGTTTTTGTAATGAATATTTCTTAACTAACCTGTTATTTCTTAGCTGTTTTTTAAGGTGTTAAAGGAAAAAAAAACAAGGCCTTTGCTTTTACTGCTGTTAGAAAAAGTAACATTTCCAGTGTGACCAATAAAGCAGCATCTTAGTGGGAAGCAATTATACACAATACTAAATGTTTAATGTGGCTATCAAAAAGCTAAAAGTTTAAACAGATTACACTTCTGCTGAATATGAAAGATAGATCACACATCATGGATGATTCACTTGAGAAAGGAGGGAGAGCTGGAGAGTGATGAAGCGAGAGAAAGATGCCTCAGAACCCATGTTTAGGGCAGAAACGTTTTCTCCTAGCCCTTGGAGAGCCCAGCACACAGCACAGTTGAATATGTCAAACACTTGCAAGAGCTGGATTTTGCAAAACTCGATGTTACAAAAGAGAATTTCATGAACTTTCGGAAAGGTTCCCCTTTTTAATTTATTTGAAAAGTATCATTTGATGGCACTGGCCAGAAGTGCAAAATATTATTGTGAAGTTATTTGGCTATGACATTGCCAGATTGCATCGTTACCACGCTGCAAAACTTTCCAAACTTTCTAGCTATAAGTATATGGAGCAAGGCTGCTAGGGAGTCTGGTTCTCTGTCTCAGAAGTACTCGATAAATGCACATATATGTCAAGGAAGAGAAGAAAGGAAGTGCGGACATCATAGTTTTTTACAATTCACATCTCTCCCAGAATCCATCGCTGTTCACTACATCCAAACTGTACTACTCTGAGGAGTTGCTGGGCAGTGTAAAAGCAGGGGCACATTTCTGGATGTCCCTTCTGTACCAACAACCCACTAAGCTGCAGGACTACCTGCTCAGAACAGTTACAAGCACACCCACAGATGCACTCACAAGAACACCCCTGGAGTACCCAGACTCCCAGCCTGTCAGCACAGAGCCTTCCTATGTTAAGAGGCGAGTCACGGGTGACATGCTGGTCTTCAAAACTGTCCCTAACCAAACCCAAACCTGTTCCTCCACCATCCCCATGCCATGGGGCTCTGTGGCACCTTCAGCCAAGGAGCCCCTCGAGTTGTGCTAACCCAGAGTTGACAGGCTGTGTGTGACATCACCAGCCTGGCCTTACCACAGCAAGTGATTTATTGATGTTTATCGGGAATGAATAGATCAAAGGCAGCCAGATGACAGGCGATCAATCAGCCATCAAATCAAGGATGGCAACAGGCCAACGAAACCTCTTCCAGCCCACATAACCCCAACTAAGGATTACTGTAAAATCATGTGTGGCTTGGTTTTTTGGGTTTGTTTGTTTGTTTGTTTGTTTGTTTTACTGTTTTCTTTTCAATTTGGCATTTCCAAAAAAACACTGCTTAAGTTTAACATGAGTTGACATTTCTGGCATAAGGAAAACAAACCAACCAAACAAAAAAACCCTCACCAGGACAAAACCTCTAAAAGTGTTTCCAAAGAGAAAAAGAAGAAAAAAATAAAACCCATGGAGGACATTGTAAAGGAACTATAAGAAACACTCACAAGGCGTTTGACAACACACAGACCCTTTTTTCCCCAACCCTTTGGTTTCCTTCACAGCATCTCATCTGGACTCATAAATAAGAAATCAATAGGATTAACAGAAGAGGTTGCTAAAGAAAGTGGCCGACTCGGTGGGTCTGTGTTCAACAGAGCCATCCCCAGTGTGGTATGAGGGGAAGCGAGAGAAAGAGAAAAGTTGGGCAAAGGAACAGGCTCTCAGCTTGGATCAAGCATCACTGCGGACCCTCCAAATCACTTTGTCCCCACCATTTCATTCACAGCGTGCCATGTATTTATACACCTCCTTTTACGGGGGGAAGGAGGGGGGGGGAAGAGAAAAATTTTTTTTTAAAGGAGCATTTTCACTGGCTTTCACTAACCATTTGTCTGTGAACGAAGGGGATGGAGAAGAACCAAGACCATGAGGGAGAGAAGCAAAGTAGGTGCCAAAGTAAGGGCTGGAAATGAACAAAATTCGCCTCCTTACCCCACCCCTGGAGTCACATAGATACTACACATGTAGTATGTCCCCGCACATAGCCGCCCGGCTTTCCCCCAGAACTGACGGCAGAGTTAGAGAATAAATCGAAGTGGGTACCAAAGTAGGGACAAGGTTTTCATGCGTCCCCACCCCACGGAAAATAAAACCCAACAAACAAATAAAATTAGATACAGCACACACACACACACACACACTCCCCGCCACAGTGCTGCGCCTCCAGCCCGAGAGCTGCTCTGCAAAGCAAGGGGAGCGGGGTATGGGGGGGGGGGGGGGGCCGGCGCGGACCGACGGTCTCGGGCCGGGGGCAGGCGGTTATGGACGAGCCGGCGGGAAGCGAGGGGAGCGGCGGGCGGCCGCGGCTCTCGTACCTGCTGCGCGCCGGGGCGCTTGCTGCTTCCTCCTCGGCATGCTGAGCTCCGGCGGCCGGCGGAGGGGGGGCTGCCTGGGCGCGGGGGTGGGAAGAGTTGCTTCAGCCCCTGAGATCCGGTGAGTTGCTCCAGCCTCGGCTCGAGGGCTGGGTTGGGGATATATTTTTTGTTGCTGTGCATACACGATGCCGAGGAGGAGGAGGAGGCGGCGGCGGCGGAGGAGGAGGAGGAGGCGGCACAGAGGAGAGGACAGCCCTGCTGCTGCTGCTGCTGCTGCTGCTGCTGCTGGCAGAAGAGGGGGGAAGTTTGACAAATCGCCCCGGAGGAAGGAGGAGGGGAAGCCCCCCGAAGAGGTGAGCGGGCGGGAGGGCTGGGGGGAGCCCGCAGTCCCCCCCACCCCACCCCGCGCCCCCGGTGCCTGGCCGGGCTGGGAGATCACGGCATAAAGACGGGGAATTTCTTGGCAGGAGTCGGCGGAGCCTCAGCCGGCGCTCTCCACTCCCCGGCTCCCGGCTCGGCGCTGGAGCGGCGGCAACAGGCGAAGCTTGAAGGGAAACGAGATGATCGCAGTGTCACTCAAACTAGTCCGCAAAGAGAGAGAGGGGCTCCGCACTCCCACCGCCTCCCGCCCCGGACGGCACCTTAACTCTTTGCGCATCGCGCCGCCGGACAGCCTGCCACCGGCCCGGCCACGGCGGCGGAGAAGCGTCCGCCCGGGGCGGGCGGCGGCAACGGGGTGCCCCCCTCAACCACGGCACCCCCTCCGCCGCCCAACTTCGCCTGCCACCGCTTTCCTCAGCAGCCCACGGCAGCAGAGGGGCTCTGCCCGCCGGACACCCGCACACGGCACGACATGGCAGCGTAGCCCGCTCCCCTCCCGGCCGGCAGCCCTGCCCTTTCCGCACCCGCGCACACCCCTTCCCAGCCGGACCCCCTCCTCAGCCATCGCCTGCCGCCACGCTGGGGCACGGGACCCTCCTGGCCCGCAGCCTTTCCCCATCCCTTACCCCAGTGAGATGGGCCTGGTACCTGCCCCCGGAGCTTGAGCCCCGTCGCAGCGGAGCCCGGCCGCCCCGTGGGGTGACAGCGGTAGCGGCCCCGGCCCCCGCCTCACCCCGCACCTCAAGCCGCCTCCCGCCCCGGCCCTACTCACCGGAGCGCCGGGCAGCCGGCCGCTCGCCGGCACACATCCAGCCCTTCGGCTCCCACCTGGCTGGCACCGCGGCCGCCGGGGCTCCGCTGCGCGCCTGCGGGCGGAGTGTCGGCTGGAGCCGCTCCGGCCGGGACCGGTAACGGCGGCGCCTCCGCCGGCTGAGGCGCTGCGCCCTGCCCCGCGGTGCCGGCGGCCGGCCGGGCAGCGGGCAGCGCCCCGCTCTTCGAGAGATCACTTTTTCCTTTTAGGTTTTTTGTTTTGTTTTTTTTTTTTCTTTTGATTTGGGGATTTTTTTGGCTATTTTTTTTGGTCCAAGTTCACCGGCGGAGCCGCCTCGCTCAGCCCAACTCAGCCCAGCGAGCGCCGACGGATCGATGTGCTGAGGGTTTGATTGTGCATCCCTGGGCGGCGGGGCCGCGCACCAGCGGGGAGGGCTGGGGCGGTGGGGGGGGGTAACGTAGGGGGGGTCCGGCCCGCGGCTTGCTTCGCGCCTCCCGCCTGCGCGGGCGCGGCCGTTCCTCTGCTCTCCGCACCCGCGTCCGCTGCCGGAGGCCGCCTGGACAGGGAGGGGGCTGGGGGGGGGGGGGGGGCGGAAACAACAACAAAAAGTAGCGATTTTTTTTCCTTCCTTTTCCCTTTCTTTTTGGTTTTGGGGTTTGGGTTTTGGGGTTTGTTCAGGGTTTTTTGTTTTTTTTTTTAAGTTCACGGGGAAGAATAAAACAAAAAGGATTATCTCACTTTTACGGTAAGATAAAAAAACATTAAAAAGATCTCCGCTCGCCCCCATTCTTCGGGATTTGGGATAATTCCAAATACCTGACTAAGTGCAGATGTTGTTGTTGCGTCTTCGCATCTTATAAAGCCGCCGCGCTGCTCTCTGCTCCCGCTTTCCTCTCCAAGTGGCAGGGAATTCAAACACTTTACATGAAGGGTGGAGGACGATTGGGATTTTTTTTTAATTATTATTATTATTATTATTATTGAGGTTTTTTTTCTTTTTTAAGATGATCTTTAGGATAAAAAAAAAAAATAAAATCGCAGTCGCTTAAAGTCCCCGGGAAATTGCTACTGCTGGGGGGAAACGAAACATTTCTTGCGAACAAGGAAACGGTGAGTTGTCAACTGCCGGTTCAACTGCCAAATTCGCTCAGCTCCATCTCATTTGATACTCGCTGGTTGCTCCTCACAGTTACAATATCTGCTCAGGGAAGGAGCCATCAGATCTACTTAAGAGACGGCACCGAGACGTCCCCCCCTCCCCAAAACCCCTCTGTGTGTAAGTGCGTGTGTAAGCGCGTGGGTGGGTGCCGCAGGACGGGGCGCGGGCAGACCCGGGCAGCCCCGCTCGCTGCCTCATGCCGTTAGATCCGCCCTAACATCTGTCTGTCTCACCATTGGCGCATCCATCAGTGTCACCCGGGGCTGCACATTGCCGCGACAACACATCAGACACAACGCAGACCGGGGGTTCGGTACAAATAACCGACATGCTCAACAACTTCACCGGGAATGATGGGACCAGCCGCAGCATAAGTATTTACAAATGTTCCACAGCCCCGGGAAACGGAGAGAGCTGGGCTGCGATTAATAACTTCTTCCTCCCCGCCCCCTCCTCCGCTTCAAGTTGGAATTAGGAAATAGAAAACCTCAATAATTCACGCCCCACCACACCCCCACACCCCACACCACCCCCCCACGAACGATGTGGCCGGGGCCACTCCCGGCTGCCCGGGACCGCGTTAAGCACAGGGAGCCCGGCGGATCGGGGAGCCCCGGGGCTGGGGCTACTGAGCGGGCAGCATGTAGGGTTCCTCCGAGCTCCTGAGCAGGAGAGTCTGAACTAAACTTTGTGAGATCCAGGTGGAACCAGGGGCACAGGGGCTACTGGCTCCGGTGAAACGCCCTAGAGACCACAAGCACCGTGGAAGTGACAAGGCTTCCTTAGCCATTTCAGCCCTGTGAAGGCAGCTCTTAAACGTGCGGAGGTCTTAGCCGCAGCAGGAATCACTGAGCCTTCACTAGTCGGCTGCAGCTGCCAATCACTAATATGGGGAAGAGGGGCAAGTTGCAAGAACTTTTTTCCTTCCCCCCCCCCCCCCCCTCCGCTTCTTCTCTCTTCCTAAATCTGCTCACCTTCCCCCAGCTCTGTATCGCATGCAGCCCCCGGGATGCCCCGGCCCGGGGCCCTCCGGGTGCGCACCCCTTCCACCGGCCCTGCCCGGCCCCTCTCGCTGCTCCACGCACCCCTGTGTACGGGTGTAGTGTCGTGTGTGCTTCAGCAACCTTCCTCGCAGAGCTCGCCCTCCCGCAAGAGCGCAGACCCCTGCAACCCCAGCAGCGGAGACCGGTGTCACTGCCCAAACCCTGCGGAGAACCCCGCGGGGCTGCCCCGCACAGCGCGGGCCGCAGGCACGGTGATGTGGGAGCGCACCAGCCTGGGTCTAGAGTTGAAACAGAAGTCAAACTTTCCCTAAACAGCAATAGGAAGAACTTAGGCAGTTCAGTTAGAAATAATAACTCTCGTGTGAGCGTGAGAGAGGGAGGCAGCAGCTATATGCGCACCCCAGCACATGCACTGCGCTTACACATTCCCATCTCCCAGTGCCAAAATACTCAGGAAGTTGTGGAATAATTGGGCTGTTAACTATACCCATGTTTTTAGGGGAAGAAAAAAAAAAAAAAAGGTATTGTACTTTCTATCAGACGAAGAGGGAAATGCAGATTCCTGCATGTGCATTGCCGTCTTTGGGGGACACAGTCTATTGAGAGAGCCAAAACCAGTAGTTTTATTAAGGGTAACATTTACAAACATAATGCATAAAATCGATGACTGTACAGACTCCAACTAGAAAGACTCAGCACACGAGGATTAGCTCTAAGCTCGCTCTTCCAGGCAGTTTTAAACCACGGTCCTAATTATTTATAAGTCCCATAACGAGATAACCACCATTCCTGAACTTCCCATCAGCCTAACAATGGTTTATATCTCCACGGTGTGCACCGAGCTGTGCCCTTCCTTGTGGTACATTTTCACTGTTCATTTCATCCCCCCCACGTGAAAACTCCAACAGTTTTCCAAGAAACATTCCCACAGGCACCCAGGTCCGAGAGGGCTGAGCTGCTGAAAGGAACGCGGGAATTAACCGTTAGTTGTGGAGATAACTGAGGAAATACCTATGGGAATAGCTAGGGTATGGGGATAACTATGGGAATAATTGTAGAGATAGCTACCGGGATAGCTATGGGGATGAGTACGGAGATAACTATGGGAATAACTATACCGATAGCCATGGGGGTACCTGGGGAGGGCCAGTAAGGAAGTTTATTAGATTTGGATCAGCTGCCTCTTAGAAACCAGCGTGTTTCGGCTTTGACCTTGTTCTCTCCCCAGCAGAGCGCTGGTGTTTCACCACTGGCTCGCTGAGAACAGAGACGGGAGAAGCATGTCCCGGGCTCCCCGGGCCGTGGGTACCCGCTCTCCGGGCCTCCTCTGCTCACCCCGGGTGTCTCTTTTAGGGGGTCAGACCTGCCCATCCCGGGCTTTGCCCCAGTCCTCCCTCCCTCACTCCTCAAACGGAGCGAAAAGTACTTCGGTTTCTCCCGGCGAAGAACAAAGACGCAGGAAGCAGTTTTCATTAAGTCTGAACTGGATGAACATGTATCTGAAAAATTTGTTTTAAAACCCGCTGCCCATGACGGAAAAAGATGATATCCCGCTTTTGCAAAGTACAAAGCGTTGTCAATAACCACTATAACAGCGATAGGAATCTAAGAGGGGAACAAAGACATTTTGTAATATCTACATAACCGTATTAGAGCAAAATTATTTTAAAATGCCTAAGAATTCCCAAACCTCCTGAATACAAATGAATAAAAGTTTTTCTTCGGGCTAAAATCTTCTCTTGAATGTAAATTGTTTGGGTAAGTGAATTTACACAGCAGCAAAGTTTGTTTGTCTTAGTCCAGTAGCTTTGCTTTAACGAACCAGATGTTTTGTCTGTAAATTGTCCAGAGGACTTTCACAATTCTGACATGGAATAAGCTCCAGAAAACCAGCACTGGAAGAGCTGTGTCCGGGTGAGCAGGACCAGGCGTTCGGAAAGAGCCCAGGGAAAAAGCAGAGAGGGAAGGGTAAGCACGCCCGGCAGCTTCATATTTGGAAGCATTCGCTTTAAGCTGTAGGTAATCGTGTCCTGATCGATTGGCTTCCGTTTGGAGTTCAAAGTGATTCCCTACCTAACCCCAGATAGCAGAACTATCCCCCCTCCCAGTAAAATAAACAGACACTGGGGGAGGGGACATTTCGGCTCAGGAACCCGCAGGGAACTCCCACAGCGGCTCGGCCCGTGCGGCCACAGCCACTCCGCAACCATCCGCGGCCCTCCGCGCAGCCGAGAGGGGCTCTCCGGGCGGTGCCGGTGCCCGCAGCGGGCGCTCCGCCTGCCCATCTCCGGGCGCGTGCCCCCCTTAACGCGGGGCCTCAGCCCGCGCCGCGTGGGAGCAGCCCCTGCCCGACACCAAGTTGGCGAATTAGACTTGGGAGACGAGAGCGGGTCCCGGACGCGGCCGTACCGAGGCGGGGGGGTGATGCAACTGCTTCCCCCAGACAGCCGGGCCCCGCCGCCTTACCTCCCTGGGGAGGGAGTCAAGGACTCTACCGCGTTTCGCGGAGCCTGCCTGATGCGGCCCCCGAGCTCTCCGGAACCCCACTCGCCCCAACCGGGTTTCCTCGCGGGCGGCGAGTGGCGTTCGGCCCAGCCAGCCTCTGCCCCGGTGTTTGGCACTCTTTCTGGAGGCTACGCGTGCGAAAATAACATCCATCATCTCTGTTCCGTACCGGTACATTATCACTTTCTTTCCCCCCACCCCGCCCCTTGAAAGGACTTTGGGTCT